AGAATCACACATACTCTAAACGATTCTCAGGATACACACACACACGCACACACAGACACACACACACACACACGCACAAACACACACACACACACACACACACACACACACACACACACACACACATGTCTGTCTTTCTATCATAGTGAGGACCATCCATTGACTCCCATTCATGTTAGAGAGTGTATGATGCCTAACCCATACCATAACCATAACTAATGAGGTTCTATTCCTATCCTTAAGCTAAACTAAAAGCTAATTTACACCATTCCTCTAAGACCAAGTGGTAAGGGTGCTCCACATTGTGTGGACCAGCAAAATGTCCCCACAAAATGTCCACACAGTACAGGTTAAAGTTCAAGTTTGTCCACTTGATCCTTTGCTGCATAATGGTCACTACAGTAAACAGGTACTCAAAATTTTTATTTTTTTTGTATTTTTATTTATTTATTTATTTTTGCTATTAAGCACAGCTGTTGAAGACTTTATTGCATTTGAGGCCCTCCATTTGGACTTCAGTAAGTCAAGCCAACATATTTCATGTTCAGAATGCACGCTGTCCACTGAGGTGGACATGTAATAAATTATTTGTAAATTATTAAATGTTACAAAAATATTTGTTGAAATTTGTTTCATTCACACCTAAAGATGAATGAAAGACTTTGTTAAATAATCATGGTTGAACATTTCATAATTCATGCATCAAAGGGTTAACTGGTCTTGTCCATGGTGAAGTTTGAGTCTGACTGATTTAGTGTGAGTGCACATGTCTTTTATACAGGTATTGAGTTCAGGTCAGACCTACTGAGTCTGTCAAAGCTTGCATAAAACACAACCCATCCCCACCACCCATCCTGCAACACTGGATCAGACTCAATAAAAGCTAACAAACCTAAAACTGCTCATTACTGGACCCAGATCCCTCCTACCTTCCTGTAAAGACTTCTTGCTCACTATTGATGGTCATATAATCATTCTATCCTCAAATCAGAAACCTTGGGGTCATCTTTCTGTATCCATGCTGAAGGAAAATCCTCATTGGGTAACGAACTGTCTTCACGCTCTGTGATTGGCCAGTCACATAGAGCGCCCGCCCCTTCCTCCACACAAAATCTGCAGCCCGGAGCTTGGTCAGCTCGGCCCAGGCATCCACGCACACACACAGACAGTAATGGATCTCTGTGATTGCTTCACTGCTGCTCATGTTTCTTCAGTACTCCCTAGGTTTTCTTCAGCTCGCCTCTTGTTCAGTTGAATATTTAAAGTTACTTTTTTCGTAACGTACGTGGTGTATTTGACAAGACAGAGCTGAAAACGGCTCGTGCATGCGTCGGTCACTGCCTCCGCTCTGGTCGGGTTTTTTAAAATTATTTTAACTCTCTCCCTCTCTCTCTCTCTCTCTCTCTCTCTCTCTCTCTCTCTCTCTCTCTCTCTCTCTCTCTCTCTCTCTCTCACACACACACACTGTGTGTGGGAAAAATGCCAACAATGTTAGGAAAAAATCAGTTTAGTCAAATTAAAATAAAATGGTTCTAGTATTTCATATGTCCTAGTTCCTACTGCATGAGTTCAGATGCATTAATTCATGCACTTAAATAATAATGTTCTGATTTTACTGAAAACTTGTTCTGTAATAGTTCCTTTACTATTGTGATCAAAAATATTTAATCTCAATTCTGCTCTGTAAATAGTTTTCAAATAAACAATACACATAGCAACTTCTGATCAATCCATATCAATTTCAGATTTAAAATAATCTATTGATGCAAACCACACCACTAATTTCCAAATAATACATAAGAGGTGCATTCATCTGCGTGTCTCCTTTGATCCGCATTAGTGATATTTTCAGCACCAGAACAATGAAGCAAAGAAACAGATTCCTGAGTTTATGTTAGTAATGTTATGCATTAGGTGCATCTAACCTGTTCTATTTTTCTCTGAAATGAGATCAAATCAGTGCTTCTATGGGTTGTCTCCTCTCTGCACTAGAAAAATGTACTTTATTATAATGTTCACTGTAATGCATCTTGATGTTCTTAACAAACAAATTAAATCAAAGATATTGGTCAATAATGCCAAATATGTAAATTTGTGTTTCAGTCATTTTTACACTAGCTTAAAAATACTTCATTAAGTCTACTTGTCATGTTCTGTGTCCCTTTGTTCCCCAGCCCCTCCAGTTCCCACTCCAGGTTCTCCTTTTGTGTTTCATAACGGCCTCATGTGTCCTTTGTCTGCGTCTCATTTATGTGTCTCTTTGTGTTCCTCATTTGTCCCCTGGTCTTCAGCCTTCCAAATATATCTCTCAGGTCCTGTGTTCCTTTAGTCCCCTCTGCAGCCAGTCATCCCTCTGCAGTGTTTATAGTTTCAGCTTTTCATTTTATTAGTCTCTTTTATATGTTTTGTCCCACCAGTCTTTGTAGTTTTCCTTCCATTTAGAATATTAGTTATGTGGTTGCTTTTCTTGTTTTTAGGTTTTACTCTTAGGTCATGTGAGTTCCCTCCCTGATTAAGTATTGCTTTCACCTGGTCCTCTCCCCACACACCTGCAGCTCATCTGCCTCCCATCATGCCCCAGTGTATTTAAGCCCTGTCTTGTCTCAGTGTCTGGTTGGTCCATTGCTGTTTGTCAGCGGAGTTTTGGTGTTCTGTGCAAGTTTCCGGTCTCGTTCCCAGTCTGTGCTCTAAGTGAGCTTTTTCTCCTGTTCCTGGATCTTTGGTTTTTGGTTCCCTGCCTTGGGATTTATTTTTATTTTGGACTCATCCTAAAATGAAAGGATTTTCTTTATATCAACTCCTGTCTCGTGTCATCCTGGGTATCTGCGTTTTGGGTCCAAACCATCCTCTCATCGTGACACTACTAAGCAGGGGTGTAGAAACGTGTTTAATAGGGCCAGCCCAGTAATGATCTTGGACCAAAATACAGGGGGCAGAAAGTCAAATAAAGGGGGCAAAAGGAGATGGTTTTCCAGACACCAAGAAAAATTAAATGCCAAATCCCCCTTGCAAAGTGTGTCACTGAGAGTTTAAAACAAAAAAAAAATCCTAGGGGAAACACTGACTTGGTTGGAGTTATAAATTAAAGCCGAGTCATCTGATGCAGCATTTTTCAAGCATCCCAGTGCTTGAGGCTGTGTTTATGATTATTGTCCAGTAAACCTTGCACAGATGTCGTTATCCCCACATCACGGTGTTCTCACTGGATACTGCTCTAGCTCACTGTCTTAATATCCTATAAAAGAAGTCAAATGCACAGATCTGTTTGTTTATCGGACAGTTTATGTTTAGTTGACGCTGTCATCACAAAGCAACATCAAACCGTTTGCTTTAACAACAGGGTGAAAACTAAGTGAGGGACAGTGAAAGGCAACTGAAGCCAAAAGCATTGGGAATGAACTGATTATTCTCAGGAGGTCTATAATGCAGTCATGGGCTTAAAGGAAAATAAGGCATGTGGTAGGGATACTATTTCTGCAGAACACCTTTGGTTTTAAATCAAAACATGGTACAGACATGTGCAATCTTGCTTTGAAAGAGATTTTAGATTTGGGTTTTATTGACAAATCAAAGGCTTTTGATGGTGTAAACCACAAAAAGTTGTTGTTGAAGTTCCAGGACAGGGGGTTTCCTAAGTCACTCACCAGTCTATGTATGTTAAACGGGGTGCTTGTGTGCCCTGCAGTTCAGCACAGTATGTAGTGGTTATTGGAGTCTAAGAACAGCTTAATCCTGTCTCTTGACAAACCTCACAGAGTTCTGTTGATTGATTGATTGATTGATTGATTAGTGGGAAAGTTGTGCTTTTGAATTATTCAAGTGTAACCAATGCAACGCCCAGATAGGTCTAAATCCTGGACCACCAATTTCATTTTTGCCAGCATTATGACTACCCAGTCAACTGGCAGTGATGTCATCATATTTCCAAATAACCTGTAAAAGCACAGGAAAATGCCTGATATAGCTAAGTGCACTTGGCTGACAGTGTTTATCAAATCATTCAGAAGGATGTCCACAAGTGGTTGGGCCAACTGGACCGGTTTAGACTAGGAGAACCCTCAGGTCTGGCTCCCAGGCATGACCCCAGTAACCTTCAGAGTTGGTTACTTTGGTGGACAATCGATGCTTTCATATCTGTGCCAGTACAGCCTGGGCTGGGTAGCTTATTTAGTTTCACATCTGGGTAATCTGTGTGTTTTCCGTTCTGAGGTGACTCTTTTTTTCAGTCCTCTTCATCGGTGGTCTGACTGGGACTGAGGTGACACTACACTCATTTACCAGCTGAACTTCACACCTACTGCAGGTGTCAAGTATAATCAGCCAGCAGGGGCCAGCGAGGGCTTCGCACATGTAGTTCATTAAGATTATGGATGATAATGATTTGGAGAAGACATCTCACCGTCTGCAGCAGTGTGTTATGGGGACATGCACAGTGGTATCAGTGAGAGACCAGGGAGCAAATTAATAAAATAATGTGGTTCAGAGTCTCCAAAAGCCTTTCTTTATCTTATTAAGGAGGACGCCACAGACGTTTCCAGACATCTTTTGTGCCACCCGCATGCTCAGGGATTTCTGGATTCTGGAGAAGTTCGTAGGAACCATATAATGTGAACAAAAACCACCCATACGAGCCAGACTGACAACACCCAGCCCCGACAGTACTGACCCAGATGTGGAAGTGCCTCAGATGGCTTCTAGGATAAAAGGGGCAGCCATGCTCACCATGTACCATCACGCGATTGGTAACAGCAGCCTATGTTAGCGCTACACAAGAGTAAGGCATCTACATGGCCAAGATTTTACACAGAAAAATCTCAACAGAGCTAATATCACACAACTTTTTGCTGGGATCATGTAGATATGACATCACTGTATTATGATGTCCTTGACAGAAACTAATATATCTAATATAAAACAATGTTTCTGTCTTTCCTCCCATGTCAACAATGAAAAGCTGGGCACCACAGTGATGAAGATAAATTCCAAGCAGAGGTTCTTACCATTAAAGCTGACAGCACGGATGTGAGCCAGTAACTCCTTTCCATCGATGTTGGCCATGCGTGGACACAGGCCGGGGTATCCAGCACAAAGCTCGCGATGCATGTGGTGCAGAGCATGAGCCATGGCATAAACGGCATCCATCACAAACTGAACCTTCCCTTCTTGCTCATAGATCGATTCACGGCCAACTTTTTCCAACCCTGGAAGAAAGTCAGAGTTTAGTTTAGATTTACTTAAGAGGTCCTTCACTCGTATTTGAATGCATCTGCAGTGGTCTCTACTAGGAATGAAGGCTTTGTAAGTCATACTCTTGTGTTTGTTTCACCCAGAGGAGAAAGTAGCTTCAGACGACAGGATGTGGAGTTTTATTTCCTGATATGTAGACATCTCTCCTCTGATTGGCTGACAGCAACACGACTCTACCACTGACTCTGTTTGATCTGCAACGTTGATGTTTTATCTCCATAAATAACTTAAACATGGATGAGTTCTGCTATGTGGTGGAGTTGCTAATGCTAACGAGGAGCTTCTACAACAGTCATGAGCAAAGATGGGTGAATTCATGAACATTAGTCAGATCAACAGTGTGATGTTGATCTGACTAATGTAAAACATCAGTGTTCACGGGTTTGTTTTTGTTTCACCTGGTGATAAAGCCCCTAATATCGTATTATTATTGCTGATGGTAAACTGCCACTGCCTATAATTCATGGGGCTTGAAACAGAAGCACCAACACAGCAAAAATCAACTCTTTACATAAACATAATGCAGATTCTGGTAAAAACCTATAAAATTCTTGTAATCAAACTGGAGTACATCTGGCAGAATATTTAAAAGCACCAAAGCTGTGAACACAATTCTTTCCTTAAACTTTATCCACGACACTAATTAAGCCCACATGATGTGCAGCAGCGTGTCAGAGCTCACATCCTGGTTGTGTACTGTATGTCATAACATCAAACAGAATTGTTTAAGAGTTTTAGAAACTCAGTGAAACATCTAGTCAGCTTCTTCGTTTTAACTTCAGAGGTTTCGTAACTGTAGTAAAGCACGTCAAAAGTGCAGTAAACTGCTGCTTGATCGCCAGTTATATAACCTTCTAAAGACAAAACAAATCAGTTAGGTGATGATAGATGAAACTGTGACCCAGAGGTAATGACAGTTTGTTCAAAAATGACTTTTAAATAACTACAGAGGTGGGATGCTCACCAGACAGCTCCACAAGGGCCTACCTCTTCGGCATCTTGTCACTTACAGGGTGGATGTTATCGCTACTCCAAAGGATGGACGCATGCAGTTTCCACCTCCAGCAACACAAGCTCTTTCAGTTAGATTTGGAAATTAAAAATACAGCAGACTACTTTTAGAGACAGTGATGTTAGGAGTAAACACGGTAATCTGCTGGGTCTGCATAGACTTACATTAACAGAGTCATAGGTTCTGTTGATAATCACCAACAAAAGTCAGCAGGAGATTCAGAGGATTAACCATGTTTCTAAGCACATCTCAAAGCTCAGGCAGCACTGACGACACAACCTCTGTTTAATTAGAGGTGATTGGATAAAAATGGACTGTTTACATGTAATAAAGGGTACATTTGACTTTTTTCCTAAAGTTATTATGTTGCGAGTCCCACATGCCAAAGACAGTGGCAAGTACGGGGTCAAAAGGTGAGCCACACTGGACTGGCTTGTGCGAGCAAAATCAGCCAGCCGACAGGAGCTGTGCTGCAGGTCAAAAAACTGTGGTCAGAAACAAGGGTCACACAAGGGTCACAGGGACAAGAGGACAGAACTGGGCGAAGGGTCAGGAGACTGACCCCACCTCTTTGCCCCACCCCTGGCTTGGAAAGATGGGATTGGAGGAGAACAGAGTGAAGACAAGCCCATCAGATCCAGAAGCCTTCTCTGGAACATTGGAGAGAAACTGAAGAATGCTGCAAAAGATGATGTAATGACCTGTGTTAAGAAGAATGCTGCATGTAGTGAAAATGACACCAAATGTTTTGTGTTGAGCTACAAAGTGTGTATCTGGTAAATGACCCCATGACCTTAAGCTGGTCCAGGAAGGGTATATAAGAACAGCTCTGAACAGCAGAGATGGATTGGGAGAGCGGACAGCAGCTGGGGCAGAGGACAAGAAGAGACAGAGCAGATTTGGAGGGGTCATCCCCTGTCCAAGCCTGGATGGGGGATGACAGAAGAGACTCTTAGGAGAGAAAGAGAGAGAGGGAGAGTTTTGGGGAGATTCTGAGAAGACAAGAGCTGGTGTAAACTAACTCTTATTTAATCATTTTGAACTAATTCCTCCGTGGGGGATAGCAGTTGTTTTTTCATCTACCCATTTTTGTATTTTGATTTTGTAATAAACCTTTTTTGAAAAAGAAACATAATCCTGATTCTTTCAGGTTTTCTCTAAAGCTTCACGAGTGGGGGCTCTGATCATTAATTGCACAGAGGTAAGCACATTAATTATGGGTTCTGGAATTATCAGGACTTACTTTACGGTTTGTGACAGATTGATATAAAGAAACCTTAAGATAACGGGATTGCTTAAAAAGAAGTGAGCTACTACAGAAGGAAAGGTCTTACATATTATTTCACCTTTAAAATAAAAGATATGATTCTAACTTAGGACGCCCAAACCAGGATCTAATACTATAATACTCACCGACATCCCCATCGAACCCTGATGGATGCACCGTCTCATAAGTTCTAACGGAACTGGGTTTTAAAGGAACCGGTAAATGGGACGGGAACGTGACATGGCGCCCAACGTGGGGCTACGGAGTGAAGGTCTAAATATTAGATACCGGGCTATCTGACGTAGAACTGTCTTTTAGGCTGATAAAAGCTTGCGCGCTAAGGACCTATTAAGCTTATAACCTTGGAGTGAAAACCGCACCAGTTTCTCGAAAAGGAAAGAAATCTGGGAGACCGGACGATTAACTTAAAAAGGTATAAAGAAAATACGGCATTCCGACGCAAGAAAAGCCAAGGATAAAAGCTAGGCAAAAAATAAAAATAAATAAAGAATAAGAATAAAAAATAAGACGTGAAAACGAATAAAAATAAAATAAATAAAAATAAGAAAAACTTTTAACCAGCCATGGCAGATAGATCTTTCAGTATCCTGTAACCGGAGCTTTCAGAATGAGGCTGGAAAAGCTAGTATGGAGCTGCGGCGGGGCGCTGTCCTGGTGCTGAGGCACAAGTGAGATGCGATTAAACGTCATGGCTGGATTAAAATCTAGTGAAGGACTGATATGTAAGAATCTGTGTGACTTGGGCCTCGTTTCTGGTAACACGGGGAGGTATTTGTCACAAACTGTAAAGTAATCATGTTTCCTAGCTTCACAGAATCTCCTGTCGGGCATCGTCACGCGCAATGGAGGCTGGAAGCCGGGAACATGTATAATGTGTGAACCTCTGTGTCGGGGCTCCGTGAGGGGAGAAGCCGTGCCGCCTGTAAAGGGGACGGACTTATAACTGGGAGCATTGGAACTCTGCTCCAATTAAACTTTGTTTTTAGAGGATCTGCTTGAGACAAGCACCTAGCTTCCACTCTCGGCAGCCTGCAGATATGAGAAGAGACAGCTGAACAGAGAAAAAGCACTCAGTCAGCTGAGCAACAAGTGACAAGCAGAATGTGCAGGATGTGGTGACATCACCCCTCCCCCTACTAGTTCTGTTGAGAAGGGAGAGTCCTGAACTAACAGCTCCGTATGATTCTGACCTGACAGACAGCTACACTAATAATGCGTAAGCATCTTTAACCTTGCCACAATTGGTGTTGTTGGCAGGATCCATGTAGTACTGTCAAGTAGGTCCGTGGATGTGAAGTTTGTGGCACCCTGCACGAGAGCACGAGGACGCGCTTGTGGAAAGAAGGGAGGAAGATGTGACAGTGTGAGCGTTCTGTCACAATGTCTTAATTGATAATGCGCCCTGGCCACTTAGTTAAGGGGATGTCCCTTTGGCTGAGTGGTAAGAGCGCATGACTCCCACCCTGGAAGTCTCGAGATCGAATCCCGCCCGGTCCTTTTTTATCCACCTTGCCACACTTTATAATTTTTAGCGTAAGCTTCCCACCTGCAGCTGCAAGCAGAGTTAGCTTGTTGCTGTTCAGGTGTGTGAGGAGAATATTTGAAGCTCTGCAGTAAAAAATGTCTCCAGTCTGGAGGGAGAGAGTCTGCTTGAAGGAGGAGACTGAGATGTTCCAACCAGCAGCTCAGCTGACCAGATGGCAGTAGAAACTGGTGGAGAAGCAGGAACCCAGTTCTGAACCCTCATGAACAAACATCTGGTTCTTCAGAGACTGAAGTGAGTGATGATGATGATGATGGTGTGTATCTGGACTCTGAGCTAGACAGACTCTGGGTCTGAGACTGGAGATGAAGATGATCCAGAGGAGGAGGCAGCCCCACCCCAAAGAAGGCTGTTGCAGTCCCCTGGCTAGATTTTTCTCGCATGGGGGATGTTGCGAGTCCCACATGCCAAAGACAGTGGCAAGTACGGGGTCAAAAGGTGAGCCACACTGGACTGGCTTGTGCGAGCAAAATCAGCCAGCCGACAGGAGCTGTGCTGCAGGTCAAAAAACTGTGGTCAGAAACAAGGGTCACACAAGGGTCACAGGGACAAGAGGACAGAACTGGGCGAAGGGTCAGGAGACTGACCCCACCTCTTTGCCCCACCCCTGGCTTGGAAAGATGGGATTGGAGGAGAACAGAGTGAAGACAAGCCCATCAGATCCAGAAGCCTTCTCGGGAACATTGGAGAGAAACTGAAGAATGCTGCAAAAGATGATGTAATGACCTGTGTTAAGAAGAATGCTGCATGTAGTGAAAATGACACCAAATGTTTTGTGTTGAGCTACAAAGTGTGTATCTGGTAAATGACCCCATGACCTTAAGCTGGTCCAGGAAGGGTATATAAGAACAGCTCTGAACAGCAGAGATGGATTGGGAGAGCGGACAGCAGCTGGGGCAGAGGACAAGAAGAGACAGAGCAGATTTGGAGGGGTCATCCCCCGTCCAAGCCTGGATGGGGGATGACAGAAGAGACTCTTAGGAGAGAAAGAGAGAGAGGGAGAGTTTTGGGGAGATTCTGAGAAGACAAGAGCTGGTGTAAACTAACTCTTATTTAATCATTTTGAACTAATTCCTCCGTGGGGGATAGCAGTTGTTTTTTCATCTACCCA